TGATGATGAACAATGAAGGTGATGATGATGATGATGAACAATGAAGGTGATGATGTTGATGATGATGATGATGATGATGATGTGAATGAACCTGAGGAACATAAAAGTGATGATGCTTGTGCTGGACATGATGATTAGGATGATTTGACATTAATACTAAACCAGCTGACCTGAGAAAAATTGTTAGCCAATCAAAATTGGAAAATTTGCAAAACTGAGCTGTCACTTTATTGAAATTATGGACTTCCAGTCCACCAAATTAAGAAAAAAATTTTTGTTAATAGGTTTTCTGGCTGAAATATGAAAAATTACATTTCTATCTTAAGGTCATGCTTTATATCTAATCTAAAAGAAAACTATGGTGTTCAGCTATGAGTATATTACATTTTGCAGCATACTACATGTAATTGGTCTCAGACTTTAAAAGATCTCTGACCTGAACAACATCTTTTGAGAGAAACAAAAACAAAAACAAAAATAACAAAAAACATACAAACAAAAAAAAGCATCTTTTGAAATATGCGTAGGCACTCATTCAGAATGTTATTTTTAATCAAAAATTACTACCTATAATTACTGATAAACATGGTTCCTATTTCAGATGGAGGGTGTYGAAAGTCCTGAAAATGAACATTATTTCTTACTCTGTGCTACTAACTGTCCTTGGGAACTGGATGGTGCWTTCCTCAGGAGATTTCAAAAGAGAATTTATATTCCTCTTCCAGACAAGTGAGTAGGATTTATGGAACCAAGTTACAGACAGACAGACAGACAGACAGATGGACAGACAGACAGACGAGCAAACAAAAACAAATAAGCTTGCTGGTGCGCTTTCATATGCCTGGGTGGATAGTCACAATGTGAGAGTTGGACATATTCTTATGTTTCAACCTTGAAACCTCAAGTCTGACTATAGCATAACTCACAACAGTATTGAAGGTGGTATTAATGATTATTGTAAGAACAAGATGCAAATGCAACAATCAGGTGCTGATTTTCAACTACTATGTAGGCCTCAAGTTTAATCCATTAGACAAGTGCATCTCTTGCTATTTACTAAAATAGTATGAGAAAGTAAATGATATTTTAGTAAATAGTAATATAGCATAAGAAACATAGCATAACRGAAGAACAGAACCTTCAATGAATATTCTAGGGAAGCAAGAACTACCTTAATGAAAATGCACCTGGGATCCACTCCTGCAAAACTGACAGAGTCAGACTGGTCCCAACTTGGTGATAAAACAGAGGGGTATTCAGGGAGTGACTTGGCTAACTGTACATCAGATGCACTGTTTGAACCAGTCAGAGAGCTTCAACATGCAACATACTGGCRACAGAACCAGGGTAAGACACAACAACTAGAAGTATAAACCTGAGACTGGAATAAGAAGAGATAACTAGCTAAAAACTTGTGTGAGCTGCATTGGTTGAAACTGGAATAGAGTAGCAGGTTTGTAGAGCATTGGTGGGTGGTCAGTAGGGTGTTGGTACAGTAAGTGGTCAGTACGGTGCTGGTAGGTGGTCAGTAGGGTGTTAGTAGGTGGTCAGTAGGGTGTTGGTAGGTGTTCAGTAGGGTGTTGGTAGGTGGTCAGTAGGGTGCTGGTAGGTGGTCAGTAGGGTGCTGGTAGGTGGTCAGTAGGGTGTTGGTAGGTGGTCAGTAGAGTGTTGGTAGGTGGTGAGTAGGGTGCTGGTAGGTGGTGAGTAGGGTGTTGGTGGGTGGTCAGTAGGGTGTTGGTAGGTGTTCAGTAGGGTGTTGGTAGGTGTTCAGTAGGGTGTTGGTAGGTGTTCAGTAGGGCGTTGGTAGGTGGTCAGTAGGGCGTTGGTAGGCGTTCAGTAGGGTTTTGGTAGGTGTTCAGTAGGGTGTTGGTAGGTGGTGAGTAGGGTGCTGGTAGGTGGTGAGTAGGGTGTTGGTGGGTGGTCAGTAGGGTGTTGGTGGGTGGTCAGTAGGGTGTTGGTAGGTGGTCAGTAGGGTGTTGGTAGGTGGTCAGTAGGGTGTTGGTAGGTGGTCAGTAGGGTGTTGGTAGGTGGTCAGTAGGTTGTTGGTAGGTGGTGATCGTAGGGTGTTGGTAGGTGGTGAGTAGGGTGTTGGTAGGTTGTCAGTAGGGTGTTGGTGGGTTGTCAGTAGGGTGTTGGTAGGTGGTCAGTAGGGTATTGGAGGGTGGTGAGTAGGGTGTTGGTGGGTTGTCAGTAGGGTGTTGGTAGGTGGTGAGTAGGGTGTTGGTAGGTGGTGAGTAGGGTGTTGGTGGGTTGTCAGTAGGGTGTTGGTAGGTGGTCAGTAGGGTATTGGAGGGTGGTCAGTAGGATGTGGGGCATAATGGTGCCATTTTAGGATTAAATATGAAAAATATCTAGCAAACATTATAAATTTACCAATACTCYGAGAATAGGTCAGATATTGCACCTTGAAACTAACACATGCATATGAATGTATTAAATGTTTGTTTAACTTTTCGTAGAAGGTTTGTATGAGCCCTGTAATGAAGGAGATGCTGGTGCATCTAAAACAACCTTATGTRATATTCCACCATCAAAGGTAATCAAGTATATATTATTAAGTATATGTTTTCCAAAATACCTCATAATAATAGTTCCTAAAACGCAATTGCATCGAATATATCAGAATATAATTTGTCAAGGATTTTATTTACTTAAATCCAACTAATATCAATTATTTATACTTTGTATTGGTAAGATTCGACCTCGTCACGTTATACTTGAAGACTTCCTTAAATCCCTGACACACAATCAAAGCACTGTTACAGAAGAAGACATGCAACGATACCAGRCATTTACACAATCATTTGGACAGAAAGGATGAATGAAATAAAGAAAAACTGAACAGGCTGACTGAATGAAAAAAATAGGAATCCTTTAGATGACCACATCAAAATCAAATCMAACTCTGATTGTGTCCATATGAATAGAGAGCTTTATAAATAAAATTTAATTTAAAACCTCCTGTCCTGCTTCAATTGACTAGTACAGTTTATAGCCTATATGTGACACTTGACTCTTCTGCATAGTTATATTGTCTCTCTTTGTACACCACTTTAATTCTCATCTTTATATTCTGAAGGTGCCCTGTCCCAGCTATTGATCCTATTACACTTGTGCCCTAAGATTTTAGAATCAACAAAAATAGTGATACTTCATATGACATAAGCCTGTGTTATTCATGTGTCGAMTAGAGATCAATTGGCKGGTGACACAAAGCAACTTTTGATGAGCTTTTGTGAAAATRRTTGGCAYATYAACATCGCGTTGGTTTTTTAACTTATTGCAAAATAAGTTAACATGAGGTACTGTAACACTGCTGCTTAGTCCTGCTCATTCMYTTGGGAACATAGGGCCTTCATGAAGTAACACCATACACTAGTATAATTGGCCATTACCTGCAAACTTCCTGATTATAATTATAATCAGTTGTTATTGACTTCTTTCCAAGGATAAAAGAAWGCATCAGTAGGTTTTCTGTCTTTTCTTCTCCACATCTTTTTCTTTTCTTTAGTCTTGACATTTTCACACCATGTGCTGATGGAGTACTTTTCTTTCCATTTTATGATAAACTGAAGTAAACATGCATTGAAAAATATCTGTTATAAAGCTTGCATTTCGATTGGTTTGTAGCCTGTGCATTATGAGAGCATACATCATGCATGTTCACTTTCTATTTCATTATAAAATAACAGCAYGTGCGCATGCATTTTCAATTTCTTCATCATTCCTATCCAAGATAACGGCTATCCCACAGTAATAGCCCACCTCTGAAATATGCTTTGCTTGTCATGCACAAAGGTTTGAATGCAATGCTTTGTGCATAATGCTGAGTGATTTGTGAAAGGAGAAAAGAATAAATCTAATTTGCACRTAGCCTGGTACTAAAACCTTTGTAAACCTTTGTAAAGCAAGGCATGTAATGTAAAGGGATCAGGAGAAAAATCTAAAACAGTTGAGAATCATCCCACTACAAATTGCGCTTATCCTAACCTTTCTCTAATTTTCTGCCAATCCCCACTTGCTTTATATCTAAAATCTGCCAATCCCCACTTGCTTTATATCTAAAATCTGCCAATCCCCACTTGCTTTATATCT